CCCAGTGCTAATGCCCTTCCGAAACAGCAAAAACGGAATTGTGTACCATTCAGTTTGAAGAATGTTTTTTTTTATTGATTTTCTGGTCGTAAATTTTGATTTTGTTCAAGTTTGATGAACGACAAAGAATAAATTTACTTAATGTAGACGTCATAAAAACTTATAATTCTGATAGTCGTGCTTTATAACAGGCGATAACAAACTGTGATGTCTAGATTAGAGTGATGTAACCGTGCCGTGAGTGACGTTAGTACTTCCCAACTAAGACCACTGAGGGCAGTATACACAACATGGCAGGCAAGACTAACTGGGTACTAGTCAGCTTGTACATGTAAATCTAAAACTGATTTAAATTCAACCAAATTTTTTTAGTAGACAACATAAATGCATGTTTTTTTAACTGTGATATGGAAAATAATAAAACATAATAAGAATGAGTAGAAATCAGACACACTTTTCTATCACTACAGTTCCTAGTTAGACAGCTTGCAGCCAAAAACAGTACAAAAATCTAAAACAAATCTTTCCAGTAAAATTAAGGGAAAGTCCAACAATATAAAAAAAAAATAAAAAAAATAAAAAATAATGCGTTGCTTGAAAATAGGAGAGGTAAACAGCTGATTTTAACATAGGATGCTATGGAAAAGATGCGAGCCTGCCACTCCCTGAAGCTCTCTACAGTTCAATTTTCAATCCTACAATTCTTTGCAAATCCAATATGGAGTTAAAACATAGTAACGAGTCTGGACAGTTTCCAATGGCAATGAAATATCTTCTTTTTTAACATTGTGTATGCACTATTAAACACATACAGTATTATTCCTTCCACACGGAGATTTGAACAAATGAAATAAGACACACAGTCAAAAAGCATATTTATAATAATTTTTACTGCATTGCAATTGCTTCTTTTAAAATATAAAGTCATTATAGTGATAAGATTACATTTTATTCATCTATTATACATGGCTAGTCAGCATGCAACATTGGTATTGTTTATTTTTCTACAATATTTATGAAAATGTAAACTACAGAATTGAACTTTGAGATGTAATCAGCGCCCTCTATAGACGATACAAAGTATTCACTTTATAAGGAGAGTATCAGAATAAATTTAACTTAATGCTACCTAGCTAAAATAAAACTATTTTCAACTATAATACAGAATCTATAAATTAAGCAATAAATCTACATAATGTATATAAATACAGTCTATGTAATATTTCCATCCAATAGATTAATTTATAAATCTACAAACCAATTGACTATTCGACATATAAACATGTTCAGTGATTAATCTTCATCAGACTTCTAATATAGCAATATTAAATTAAATTTTATATATACATATACACTACAGTCATATACACTACTTATAAATATACTATATATCTATTAAAATTTGTTTAACTATGTATTCACACACAAGAGACAAGTTCACATTAGGATATATGTACCACTACAGTAGTTCCTGCATTTTCAATAGGCAACTTATCAAGTTATTACTATTATTTATTCTTGAAGGTCATAGGTTGAGCTGAATTCTCTTATCACAATATAAGTCAGCAGTGCATGGCAGTGCAATCACACTTACTGAGGTCGAGAAGGCATTCAATCTAGAACTCAAAGCCAAGCATTTTTCTAAGTACAATTTAGAAGGCAGTAGTTGTCGTGCCACACATGCGCGAGATATGGGTCTCATATAAACAAAAATGGCGGATTTGACTGTTACACACTCCAACTACGCTAGTACATATTGAGAGGTTACCAAGCTATAATTAGGTATTTTTTTTGGTGTTTGGAAGGTATTGAAGGAGTCATCAGCGGTAACTAGTGCAAAAGACGCCTAGGGAAAACTCATATTTGTGATTTTATTAGAAAAGCACATCATGATTGGATTATGGAAAAATATATGTTTATCAACACAAAAGTCGCACATGCGTGGCGTGGCACGGCATGGCAACTACTGACCTTTAACTTAGAATATATACATACATTATATATAAAGCATGCACCCACCACCAGGACCAGTAAATTGTGTTATCATCTGGGCTTGTTCATGCCTGGGTGAGAACATTTAAAAAATTACATGCTGATTTTAGTATTGTAGAGATTGGGTTAAAGACACTTTAGATACTAAGTGTAAAAGCGTATTTACAATAAATGAGAAAAAGAATAAAATATGCAATTTACATCACTATTTAAAAAAAAATTACTTTACCGAAAAAAATACCTCTACAAGTTCACAAGTTCAAGGTTTTTGTACTGTCTCACCATTTACTACCAAAGTTTCTCAAATAAAAGCCTCTTAAAAAGACTATAAAATGTCTCAGTTAAAAAATAACAGCCTCTATCTTTGCATCATTAGCTGCATCAAGGTCAAAGTTCAATAAACAATAGAAACCCATTAAATTTGTCAAACTGGCGCATAGCTAAAGCGAAAAAGGAATAAGTTTCAAGATCAATAATGTTTTTAACAGAATAGACAATTGCTGCAATAATACAATTTGTCAGGGCTAAAAATATAATGCTGATCAGTCTCGTGCAGCGTTCACAGCTGTTGCAGTCAAATTATTTTTCATTTTCACTAAGAACCAATTTGTATTCCAGGGTGTCATTTTTTTGGGATACTCGTCAATGAAATTATTGAAATAGGAGGAAATAAACTAGATGTCTGTCACTATCATGTCAGTAAAAAGTTAACAATTAATATACTACTTTATTTTTATGAACAGTATGGAATGCGTTTCATGAATATGCAGTACTGTTTTTGCTCTATTAGAAGCATATCTCCAAATAAAATGCACAAAACTGTATTTATTGTATGCTATTGTTGCATACTCTATCATTTATGAAAGAGAATACCCCTCTAATAAAGAAAATAATCAAGGCATACAGAAATGTGTATTCTTAACACTGCAGTACAATGCATGAATCCAACAACATTCTACTTCACATGTAGGTAATTTTAACAACTCAGTTCCTTGAAGAATTCCAAACCTTTCCAGTATGTATTGTTACTGGGCAATCAAAACATATAATTAAGAGCTCAGAGCTCATTCTGCAGTTACATCAAGTTTTCAACAAACTTTGAACAAAATCGATGAAGTCTAAAAAATATAGGCATGAACACAAGAAATAAAAGAAACTGACTACCAGTATCATCATGATAAATACAATTTACATGTAATTTTGCTCTTTTTGAACAAAATAAAACATAATTGTCCAAAGAAAAATTACCAATTGCACATACACACAAAAGAACCCATATTAATAAGGCTTAATAGAATTACAATGATAGATACAAATAAAACCAATATACACATAAACTTTTCATTTCTAAGTTTACAACATGTAGTATATATCACAGCAAACTCTTTTTCCACAATTTATGTATATATACAATGTAATTATGCCTACCAGAGACATACTTCGTTCAGTAGATATAACATTCTAACACTGATGCACGACACAAAAGCCAGCTTGTCCAAGCACCTGACACGTATCACAGGATTGCACCAGATAAAAAAAGTCCAGCTTGTCTATGTACAGGATATATTTGATTAGCACAGAGAATGCAACCAAGCTTCGTAAGTTAGAAGAAAAAAATTCTACCACCACCATGAGTTATCATCAGGAGTCAGCATATCAGATGCAGTGTCTATTGTGTATTGTATTAGCGGTATCAACCCAATAGCGGCCTCACAGTTATTCCAATGATGACGAGTTCCCTGACGTTCGGCAATTGCTGGAAAGGTGTCGTACTGTTTACTGCTATACAGAATGTGTCTGGAAATCAACAAAAAAATCAATAGTTATTTTCTTTAATGAGTTGCTACCAATTATAGTCCAATTACATTGTTCTTATTAAAATACAATATCAAACAAAATTATTTAAACAAGTTCTCAGTTACTCATTCAAAATTATGCACATCACATTTTTAAAAAAACAAAAAAAAACCATGAATAAATCGAATATCTGAGGACCAGAATGTAAACTTTTGTTTGACTAAAGTTGTTTGGACGTCACCAAGAATCAATAGACCAATTAATGGACATACACATGTATATACACAATCCTTGTATATATTCTTTACCTTGGTGTTCCCACAAGGCTAATTACCACATACCTGTAAGTGTCACTCCCATAATACCTTGTGTCTGGCACCAGAAAACTTCTCTCTAGGTGAGTCAGTAGGTCATTGACCATGCGTAGTTTCATCGTCTCGTCATAGATTTCTGAGTTTGAAGTCACATCAATATTGAAGTTTTTGGTAATATTTTCAAGCCTTGCCACTGCATTATTCACTGTGTCTGAAAAAGAGGAATCAGAAAAGAGTTAAGGTCATGTAGTGTCAGTGACATTGATTCAATAGAATAAACATAGCCTGTGTATTTAAAATCAAGTTTTTAGAACATCAAAGTCAAAGTTTATCATCCTCCATAAGCCACATAAATGTTTTCATAATTTTTTCAAAAATTTTGATCGAGACTTGTAGGCAATGGGAAATCATGTTCATTTGAGTCCGAAATTAAAAAAAAAAATGGAAAAGTTTTACAAAGAATATCTTTTTTTTTTTTTTAGATTTTTTTTTTCAACTTTATAGTGACCTCAATGAAATATGTACTATATTGCCTGTAAATAAATTAATTGAAAACGTTATGTTTTTATGGCTTTCGTCATGGGCTATGATGAGATGAAATTTGGGTTAAAACATAAATATGTTACTGTAACCTTGGAGACCAAATTTTACTATTTTTGTGCAAATAAGTGTGAAGGGAGAGGCTAGAATTAATATAAACTGCCAAATGAGTCCCAAGTAACAAACAAAATGAATAAAGTATGTCATTAATTGATTGTACTATTGTGATGACATTTCCAGCTGTTAACGAGACCAGAATTAATTCACAAAACAGGTACAGAAATGTGTTTCAAAGACGTCCGCAATCACAGCTTAGTTATACACTAGTCATTTTTGTAGCCATGCCAGCGTATTCAAACATCAAACACTATGGTCTGTAACCCCAACCAAAGACGGCATTTACATTCTCCAATAATTTAAACATGCAAATTGATTCGGCTTTGAGCATTTCCAACCAAGCCAATCAGACTTAAGATCATAACATCCAAATTACAATGGACCAGTACCATGATTATGTTTTGTTGACATTCCAGACAACTGATAATTCTTAGCTTGTGTGTCACTATTAATATGTTTGCAAGAACAATGAAGTAATTGATAGGCATGAATTACCCAGCATTTGTTCTATAATTATTTTCAAATTCGTCAAAATATCCCGGTAGGACACATACTGGTAAAGATTTATAAATCTAAAAATAAACACAGTATTTACAAAGAAAACAGCTGTATGTGATATATGGCTGGCTTTAATTCACTCTGACACATATGATATAATACACAGCAAAATCATATTTCTATGTAATATTCAGTTATAAAAACTTCATCTTTTATCACCAATAGACCCTGATCGAATTAATTTTTTTTTTCAAACTGTTTAATGCGATAATTAGTTTAAAAATGAGAGTTTCACATTTTCTGTAATTTTCACTGAATACAATATTAATTTTGGACCAAACAGATGAAATGTGATATTGCTTCTAGTTTTTGATCAATTAAATTGTATTTTTTTGCAACATTTTAAGTGACAAGAGCAGACTATAAATAGAACTATTTTGTGGATGGTGCCTGAAGTTGACACTTTGGTACTCAAAAGGTTAATTACCATTTGAATTCCATCAAACTTGGTCTAATTATATCTACTCTGCTATAATTTCTTTTTTAATTTTGTAGCAAATTAACACAATTTCTTCATTTTATATATAAGTCTTGTTCAACATTTTTTGATAAAAAATAGTATACAAGACTGTCTGTAAAAAGCTGACAAATTAGTTGATTTATATATATTCAAAATATTTAGATGCAAAGAATCAAATATCAATTACTTTACACATTTTAATCAAAATTTGTTTATTTCAATTTAGTTGCAATCTTAGGAATTATTTTATTGATAGTAAATTTCAGTGGAATTTTTTTATTATAAAAATGAATTTTGGCAGACCATGATAAAAAGAAATGTAATAGCTGATTGAAGTGAAAGTAGAAATTATAGTGATATTATACATGCGAGTATTTAAATTTGATTTATACCATAAATTCACATCATGGGTGTACTCACAGCTTTTTTTTTGTGAATAACAAATTATCTATTGATAAATCATTCTTTTAATACAAAATCATAATCCATTGTAATTACAAGTTCAAATATCCAATTTTCATTTGTCAACAAATGAAGTGGAAGTTTGGGGTTGGATTATTAACAAATAATCTGCCCATATTAGTCACATATGATCAAGGACTCGCACAACACACAACTGTCAGTACTTGCTGTTACCAAGTGAACCTTGATTATATGCGCATATATTGAAATAACAACTCCATTTACTAACCTAGAGTGAAGTTTTTCTCTGCCAGTGTATCTCCACATTTATTGTCCAGTTTTGTTAGGTAGTCTTTAATTAACTGATTGGTATATGTGTAATCCCACTGTAGCATTGAGGCATCAGCCACAGATAATAAAAGCCGAGCAAATAGCTGTGATATGGCCTTATGGTATAAGAAATTAACATCATGGTATTTCGGGGCAGTATAGTACATATCAACCTGGAAATATGACAATACAGAGGGTAAATATTAATTAGCTTGACATGCAGTATAGTACATATCAACCTGGAAATATGACAATACAGAGGGTGAATATTAATTAGGTTGACATGCAGTATAGTACATATCAACCTGGAAATATGACAATACAGAGGGTGAATATTAATTAGCTTGACATGCAGTATAGTACATATCAACCTGGAAATATGACCATACAGAGGGTGAATATTAATTAGTTTGACATGCAAAACAGCACCAGTACATTAGTTTCATAGTTTATTTATATGTAACAATGAAAAATGTATTATTATTGTATTTATTTGTGCCTAATATTTGTTCAGAAAACATTTTTTTATTGACTTTTTTTCAAAGCATTTTTCAATAAACAATTGAGAAGAATGCAATGTTTTTGGACAATTACATAAACAGACTATCATCACATGCTCTGAAAAGAATGCATAGACATCAATTTTAATTAATATAACTCACAGCTTTACACTACGATCACCAGCAATAATGAAAAACATCTCTAATTATATCAAAATATACAAATCTTGTTATTTTTACCTGTGTGTTGTTGAATGGCACGTAGTTAATATTAATTGTTGCAATGCCTAGTTTGTGTGGAAATACTAGATAATCACTGGCAGTACCAAACGTTTGAATCGGGTTTTCAAACGACTTTGTTTTCACCATCCAGTTAGTGTGCATTGTGACACCTTCCTTGAAATTCACTGGATCAAGCAGCTGAAAAAAACAAACAAAAAACAATTAATAAAAAGCTATAAACATATTGCTTGTTGATGCAGTTTTTCTCTTCATTTCTGTTTTCAGCAGGTGATGTGTGGAACCGTAATTTTTCTAGCCAAGTTTTGATGTGAAATTTCATTAATTTTTTCTGTAATTTCTCTTTCTTAAATTTGAACAAAAATGAACATAATTTCCCTCTGGCTACAGAATTTTACCAAAACATATTAATATACATTTTTTGGTGAAAGATGACAAAAGTTGGCTCAAATGATTAATAAAAAAACAAACATAAAATTGAATAAATTTTCTTACATTACAGCAACAATAACAATCATTCACTCTTCTTTTTTTTTGAATAAATTACGCATATAGTCAGAAATCCGACTACATTATAATAATCTGGGTACTGTATGTGGCACTGCAGCTCACCAGCCACCATGTCTATTCATTAAGAAAACACGGTTTTACAGACAGAGTCAAAAATTAAAACTCTGTCATCTTCTTCGTTCTGCAACATTGCATACAAGCCCAATATGGGTCCTATTGTTAAAGCCATTGTTTGTTTGCCACAAATTAAAAGTTGTGACAACTGTTGCAACAAACACGCAGTAAACACGCGAAAACTGTGCAGCGCTGTAAATTCAAAATATGATTGACTGTGAAATTAAAGTCATAGTCATATTATCATTGATTTTTATGTTCTGGAAATAATAATTATTATTCACCATTTTTGCAGTAGATGTAATAAGTCTAGATGTAGCAGCAGTTGACTCTACATGCAATGTGTAGTCACCTTGTACAGCCATATCCAGATCAATGTATACAACAGCTTTCTCCAATAACTTCAATCTGTGTTCCTGTAAAAAACAATGCTTGCATTATTATGCAAAAAATGTGTCTATCAATGCTGCCTTTGTCGTTGATGATAAACACCTAATAATCCTAGTACTAACTATGGTACATTCACCCATTCTATAGATCCCAGTACCGGTACTACCTACCTCAGCCCATTCTATAGATCTCAGTACTACCTACCTCAGCTCACTCTACAGATCTCAGTACTACCTACCTCGGCCCATTCTATATATCTCAGTACTACCTACCTCAGCCCATTCTACAGATCCCAGTACTACCTACCTCGGCCCATTCTATATATCTCAGTACTACCTACCTCGGCACATTCTATATATCTCAGTACTACCTACCTCAGCCCATTCTATATATCTCAGTACTACCTACCTCAGCCCATTCTACAGATCCCAGTACTACCTACCTCGGCCCATTCTATATATCTCAGTACTACCTACCTCAGCCCATTCTACAGATCCCAGTAGTACCTACCTCAGCCCATTCTACAGATCCCAATACTACCTACCTCTGCCCATTCTATAGATCCAAGTACTCCATGCATTACACCCCATGAACACATCTTGATAGTCCTCTTAGGATACCAATTCTCATCCTGGATGCTATGAAGATTCCTTGCTAGTTCCAGCATCATTGCCGTACCATTATAATTGTCCATGACACCACGGTGACTACCCATCATAACAAACCGATCTGCGTTGTGATGAAGGTCAAGTATACTGTTTTAATTTATCATGTTACAAGTGTCAGTGTTCTTGGAAATACTGAAAGTCAAAGTCTCAGTTGTTGTTGTGCTATTTACTTTGATTTAACATACAGGTTTAATTTATAGGGAAAGTATGATAAAAATATTTGTTCAAAATGTGTGTTTTCTCAAAAACTTTTCATCTATTCTCCGTATAATTTCAAAAAACTATGAACTTTGAACTAAATATACATAATTGCTGATAATTTCAATGGTGACGTTTGTTTTTAAACTGAAATGAACAGTATTCAGATTGTCATAAATATTTCTACACCAAATAATTTTGATACTAAATGTACTGTATTTATTTGAAGCGCATCTCTAATAGAAGCTCACATAAACAAAAAATCTCATTTGTTGTACCAGGGTATATACTGAACCATTGAAATATTACTCGTTTTCGACCATACAAACACCTTGGTTATCTATGTAAGCACATGTGCTACTAATAGAGCAAATACAGTATCAACCTTGACACCACAAGTTCCCTCTTTTCATATCATATTTATAGTCTGCATAGTCTGAAGATTGGGATAAAAATAACTAAATTTTGAGTAAAAACATTGACTCAAATTTCTGTCTCTGAAATGTCTGCTGGGTCCAAAATTAGGGTTCATTTCCAGAAATATTGAAGACTATAAGAAAAGAACAGCAGGACAATTTGTGTGAGAAAGTCTGGGGGTGAAAAGGTTAAAATGTAAAATATTCTTTAAACTTCCATGTACAAATGTGTATTAGACCAACCTCTAGTGCTATCAGCGTTTCCTTTCATTGTAGCTATAACATTGTATAATGTTTTTATCTTGGGTTTATTATTCACTTCCATGCGTACAATCCAAGGCGCTTCCTCTGAAAATAGAAATGCAGGCCATAAGTCTACAGTAGCATTGAGTTTAACATTATAATGTCGTCTAAGTTTCACATCAAGAGATACAATGCCCAATAATGCCTAATAATTAGTTCTTAGCCATGTGCTAGGCATGCAAACTGCTTATTCAATCAGAAATAAGCAGTCCTTGACATGTAGAAACCACACATGCTTATTCATGAATTTCTACAAGGTAATATACAAGTACCAAGCCTTTCCGATTTTGCAGTACCGATATTTCTTCAAATCAAACATTTCCTGCACAGTTATTGTGTGATACCGGGAGATACATACTTACAATGAACTTACAATGATCATAATGGAAGACTTGACGACTTACTCAGACAGAAATATTATGTGACACTGAATTTAGCTGCAGATGATTGGACAAAGGTGTTTATACATACTGTGACTTTTCCTGCCTGCATGGTAGGTTAGGTTTAACCCTCCTTGCCAGTGATCTGGGGCAATCTTGCCACTCATATTAAGCATTAAATGGAAAGCATCATCCGCTGAGATTGGCTGGACCAGGAATGGAGGGTAAATGACCCACAGCTTGATGTGTATCCATCTAAAGAAAAATTAAATATTCAAATATTAATATTTTATTGTATTCAATTATTGCAGTATGTCTATATATTGTATTATATTTTTATGAGTTTATGTAAAGTATTGTATTATGAGGTTATGAAGATGTGTTGATGCAATCCCGTAATGCCTGAGTACATACTTTGCGGCAACCCTATTTTAGCTTGTAGAGAAAATTTGATAAGAGACAAAAGCTCAAAATGCCAACAAAACAACTGTTTTGCATTATGCAATGACGAGATCATATTTTAGTTTTGCCCATTATTGATTTTAGTTAAATGTGAACAAAAAAAAGAATCTTTAAATGTGATAAGAAAATAAGAAAATGTTGAACATTTAAACGAATACTGATACAACTTTTATATAAATGACATTGAATTGCATTAAGATTATTATTAACATGTTAATTATTCACATTGCAAATTTCAACACCATTATGATACCAATTAGCCCCCATGCTTGCGAGAACACTGTAGAGAATAACGCTCACCTTTTGCTGGATATCCTGAGGTAAACGGATCCTCAATACCATGTGGAGAGGCATGCCAGTCACGACTTGATATCTTTCTGTCTTCGGGATCTAAATAAAACAACACTCCCTTCAGACCATACTTCTCCGCTAATCTCACCTATGCAGTGTTGATTTGAGGGGTAAATGGATGAAGGAGATTATAAACTGGTTCTACATATGATTCAAATTAATCTGACACCAGAACAGATCAGGGTTATTCAGTTCTATTGCCTGATGTAATTTTCAGGATAATTTGGAAAGAATGATATTAAATCCTGTTTGGTTAAATTTTTAACTTTTGCTAGACAAACTTTTATTCTGACGCAAATTCAAATCTAGGATTGAGAACACTGGGCGGGCTACCTGCATCATTTACTGCTACTTTCTATTATATTTATCTAAAAGATCCACCCACTGCAAAAGTTAACCCATGGGCGATGTTTCAGTATCTAAGCGATCTTTTGGTGCAGCAAAAACAAACAAGCAGCCTGTTGACTGAGATAGCTTCGCTGTTAGCAATGCACATTTCAATTAAGAACTGAAGATACCTATATGTATAATATCAAAGCAATTGGACTTGCAGTTTTTAACAATAAGTCGAAAATATCACTTTTTACCAAAAATGACAAAAACATTCATCAAAATTAGAGAATTGAAGATATCATCATGAAATGAACAAATCTAAGAAAGGTTGACATCAGCCGGTTTAACGAAATTTCACACACACAATAACAGTGTCACACGGATTAAGCTTTGTGAAAAGCAAGCAATTCTGCAAATAAATAATGTTGTGACATCCAAGTTGCATCCCAAAAATTTATATTATGCCATTACATATAAGACAATTCGTACTACTGCCTTCAACGTCATTATTATCTGACCATGATCACATTCTTTGTAACTGAAATGTGTACATCACCATCAAGAACACAACATGATG